GACTTGTGAGCATGGCTTTGGTTCAACCATGCAAGCAAGGGTCCGTTGGCCTAAAGGTGCAGGTGTGGGCGACACTGCACTACTTCGGAATGGAAGCGTGCTGCAAGAGGGCTATGTATGGGCATGGCACGAAAGAGGCGCATGACAATGGCCAAGGACTAAAGGTTGCCTTACTCGGGCGAGGCACGAGCTAGTCGCGGATGCACTAAACGAGTGTAAGCTTGAGGATTGGGCTGTGCACGCGGGAGCGATGCTCAGTCTTGGGCTAAGGACAAGGCATGTCCTAAGACAAGTCCTCAGGGCGCGCATGGATTGTGATCCTAAGATGGAGCGCCACGACATGTCTAGGGCCAAGGGCCTAGGCATCTTACGGGCGGCACAAGTTGGGGCGAGCCTACGGGCGAGTCCCACCGACAGGCACAGGATCGTGCTTGGGAAATCCTGGGACGGATAGGAAGGTTGGCCTGCAGCGAGGGGAACTGCAGGCGCCGCACGGGCGAGCAGGTGCCGCTACCCAATGTAAGGAAATGGGCCCGTGACACAGTTCCCACATAACACACATAGCAGTAAATAAATAACACAACAGTATTTTACGTGGAAAACTCTCAGCTCATGGGATTAAAAACCACGACCTACACTCGTAGGATTTCAACTTCACTAACCGAGCAACTTTAGATTACAACCTATTGTAACCTAGGAAATAAACTCTTAATTCCTCATCTACTTGCAATAACTCTATTGCAAGCCTCTTTGTAATAACTCTATTGCAAGCCTCTTTGAAAAGTGTGAAAAAATCTCTGAAGAGAAAGGCAAGTGACAGTGAGGAACCTGGTTTCTCCAATAAAGCCAAAGTGGAAGTGTCTGAAGTTGACAGAAGAGAAAACCTGAAGAAGCAAAGGGTGTTGTGGGGTAGAGTGTTTGATGCTGATATTCTTGAAAAGTCAGGCATGAAACAGCTGGTTGCAATATGCAAGTTTCCGAAGTGGACTTCATCTGTTTACCATTTAGAGTCCCAAAGTCTATGAAGAGGA